TATATATATATATATATATATATTATTTATATAGAGGTACACGTTATCTTTTATTTATTTATTTATTTTAAAGTATGTCACAACATCACTATGTGTTTAAGTATATCATCATTGGGGATAGTGGTGTAGGAAAGAGCTGCATTCTCCTACAGTTTACAGACAAGCGTTTTGAACCACTTCATGATTTGACCATTGGTGTCGAGTTCGGAGCCCGTGTGGTGACCATTCAACAGAAAAACATCAAACTTCAAATTTGGGATACGGCTGGACAGGAGAGTTTTCGCAGCATTACTCGCAGTTACTACCGTGGGGCTTGTGGGGCCCTTCTCGTGTATGATGTGACCCGGCGAGAGACCTTCGCACATCTGCAGACGTGGATTGAGGACGCCAAAGCAAATGCAAATACCGCTATTGTAATCATGCTTATTGGAAATAAATGTGACTTAGAGGCGAAGCGGCAGGTGTCGCGTGAAGAAGGTGAGGCCTTTGCGAAGAAAAACAATTTGTTTTTTATGGAAACAAGTGCTAAAACAGCACAAAACATTGATGATGCCTTTCTGAAGACCGCCACTGTAATTTACGAGAATGTGCAGAACGGTGTGGTGGACCCGGCGGTGGTGTCTGGTAAACCCGGCACCGCAACAACATCTATGGGGGCAACTGCGGCAAGACAGCAGCAACGGGGATCCGGCGGATCGAACGAAGGACGTGGATGCGAATGCTAGAGAATATATATATATATATATATATATATATATATATATGCAAGTGGTATGTATGGATCAAACACCCCCATACGGTAACGAGTACAGCAATAATATTACTAGCGGATGGAGAAGTACACAACGTTTATATGAGAGAGTGAGAAAGAGTGAGAGGATTGAGTATATTGTTGTGTGGGAGTATGTGTGGGAAGAGAGTATGGTGTGTAAAAAGAAGCCAAAACATGCATGATGATAGTATGAGGCCCCAAGAGTAAAAATAAAGAGAATGAAATGCAATGAAAAGGAAACAGGAATAAAAAGTCCGAAAAAAAAAATGTAACCAGAGGCAAAAAGAGAAATTGTAAAGTGAAGGCGGAAACGAAGAATTCAAGTAAAAGATGCTTCATTTTCTTTTTCTTTTTTTGCTTACTCTATAGAAAAGAAAATAATGATAATACAAGGTACATATATATACATATGGCGTTGCTTTTTTTTTTTCTGTATTTGTGTTTTTTTTTTATTTTTCCCTCTCTGTCTTCTGTTTTTATCTGCTGTGTTTTTTTTTTTGTTTTTACTTTCACTTTTTGGCACATTGTAAGTGTGTTTGTATGTGCATGCAAATCTGTACTCCCTTTGTTTATGTCTGGTTAGGGGTTTACATGCGGGAGCGAAGAAGAGAGAAAGAGAAAAAGAAACTAAATATGTGGACCGTAGATGTATGGAGATGGACGATTCGGGCGGAATGCAAGAGAAATGAGAAAGAAAGATATACATATATACATACAGGAGGAGTGAAAGGGGATCTATATATGTATATGTATGTATGTGTGTGAAAGGGAGAGAGAGTTTGTGGGAAGAACGAGGTTTGTGTGTATAGTTGTGAGAGGAGTAAAGCGGGATACGTACCCCTTCTTTCTTCTTTTTTTTCCTTTTTTTTTTCTTGTTGGTATTGGCTGCGGCTCTAGCAGTAAGGGAAATCAACCGCGATAGAAGGGAGATGTCTCCTGCTGTTTTGTAGTTAGTGATATTATTATTATTATTATTATTATTATTATTATTATTACTACTACTACTGTTACTGTTAGCACTAAGAACACGTGTGCTGAGTGACATATGTGATCAAAGAGCACAACGTCACCCTACTGCAAAGATGTGTTTTCTTCAGCTTTCACCAATACTTTTTCTTTTTTTTTTTCTTTTCTTGCTATTCTATGGTTCCAGGTCTTGTTTTTTTTCTTTTGTTTTTGTTGTTCGTGTTTCATTCTTATTTTTGCCTTTTGTCCATTTTTATTTTATATTTGCGTGATAGTGGTGCTTTGTTTGCACTGCTTCTTTGTATTTCCCGTTCAGTTATTCTGCAGTTACGCTTGACGCACAAAGCACTGGCACAGCCTATAGTAGTGCGCGAATATTAGTTATACGTATATATATATATATATATATATATATATATATATATATACTTGTTATAGTGGGAGAAGTATTGAGATATGAGAACTGCATCTGTTTCTCTTTTTTCTTCTGTAAGTGGAGGAAAGGAAAGGGACCGAAAAGAATGAAAACGAAAAAAAATATGAAAAGTGTAGTTTGAAATCTGACTATTAATCAATTGAATGGTGAAAAATCAACAAAGGAAGAAAGAAACAAAAACAAATAAACCAGATTGGAGTTTATTACTATGCCTCAATTACTCTTTTTTTTCGTGTTTGTTTTTCTTAATGTAATTTGGTTTGAGCTTCTTTCGTTTGTATGGTCACTTTTTTTCTTTTATGTCTTTATTTCTCTTCTACACTTTATTTCTGCTCTCTTTTTGTTTATATATATGTTTTTGTGTGATTCTCTCATTATATATATATATAGTTGTGAAAAGACTGAGGTCCGGCATTACGACGACTCAACTCTCTCTCTGTGCTATAGGATACAATAATAAGAAGAAATATACCGAAGGTAAAATAAAAAGAAAGAGACTTGAAGACTGGCGAGGTTTGTGTTAATCTCCACTGTATTGATTACACCACTTGCCACTTGAAAGAATAAAGAAATAACAAAAAAACGAAAAAGAAAGAAAAAGAAAAAAGAAAAGAGCATCTTTATTTACAATACCAAAGAGGAGAATCATTTTTTTTTTTTTTTCTTCATGGGAGCATCTCTCTACGGTCACCGTTCGCCTTGCATGCTGGGCGTATTGTTATCGCTGCTGTTGGCATCTCTCGTCATTTCACCATCCGCTGCGGATGACGGTGGTGTGTCTGTGCAGGTGTCGGCCAACCGCGAGGAGTGTTTCATTGAAGACATCTCCGCTGTGGGCGTGAAGGTGTTTCTGCACTATCTTGTGGTCTCTGGCGGCTCGCTGGATATTGATGTGACGATCACTGGCCCGGGGAATGATCTCATTTGGACCTCGCAGCGGGACCCGGAGGGGCGGGTGCTCTTCAAGACCCGCGCCATTGGGAGACACACATTCTGCTTTTCAAACAAGATGAGTACCATCACGGAGAAGGTGGTGGCATTCTCTATTATGGTAGGGAATGGTGAGAGCAGCGGCGGCGTCGGGGCTCCCATCAATTCTGGAGAACAGCCTTCCGCAAAGGGAAAGGATCCACTGGAGCGGTCAATTATGCGCATTCAACAAGGACTGCGTGAGGTGCAGGAGGTGCAGCGTTATCTCAGGGGACGGGAACGGGTACACCGTGCGACAACAGAGGTGGCAAACACCCGCGTCGTTCTCTGGTCGACATTAGAGATTGTTGTCATTGCATTAATGGGCGTAGGTAATGTGTGGTACTTGCGGAGAATGCTCAACAAGCGAAGAATTGTATAGGAATTTTTCTCTCTCTCTTTCTTTCTTTGTGTGTGTGTGTGTATGTGATAGGGTATTCTGAGCTCTCAGGAAATATATATATATATATATATCTATATATATATGTATATATATGTCTTGTATGTGTGCGTATGTGCCTTGGTACCCAAAAGATTTTTCCTTTCTTTTCTTTCAATGTGCGCCATATTCTCTATTTTTCAGCTCTTTTGCAAATTTATCCCTTTATGATGTTCAATTTTCTTTAGATAAATAGTTTGATACAAACCCAAGAAGGGGACCTGGGAAATGAGGGAGGGATGAACATACTGTTGAGAGCAAATGGTCAAGAGAATGATAACCTGGAAATATACAAATGATAGCAGTGATGGCGTGAGAAGGAAAGTATGAATTTTCTGTATGAAGGATTTCCGTGTCCTCTGTCGTTCCCATCTTTTTATTTTATTTTGTAGGACAGTTATATCATGGAGGTCGGTTATTGTTTGGAGCGCCTGTGAGGAGTTTCATACACACAGAAAAATATATATATATATATATATATATATATATATATAACGTATATTTTTTTCTTCTTTCTTCGTTGTTCTCTATTGTCTTTGAATTAATAAATGTAATGTATTTCCTTTTGCTTTTTTATTATGTTTTTCCTTCTTTAAATTGATTCTGAATTCTTGGTCACGTGTGTACCATTGACTAGCTTGTGTTTTCTTTTTTTTTTTTTAGGTGAATAAGTACTCACGTAGTGACCACACATTCCGAAAAAAAAAAAAGAAAATAATAAGGCTTCACTAAGAAAAGTGAGGATTATCTGGAAGTTACCGTTACAGAACACAATATAAGAAAAAAGAAAATAGACAACAAGGTAGAGAACATACCTACATACATATACAGTGATAAAATAAAAGAAATCTATATACAAAATCAAAAATGCCAAGGAAAACCCTTTTGGGAAACTGGTATGAAGAGGAGGCCTATAAACAGGACCGCAGACGTCTTATGGAGGGTCGAAATGGTGGTTTCGTGGATGCTGCAAGCGAGACACAAAAAATCATTGCAAAAGTTAAACATCACAATACTCCATACAATCTCGCCAAAATGCCTGAAGACGGTTATCTACACTTCTACACACCTATCATGTTACAGAATGCGGCCACACTTGGTTTTCTCTCTCTTGATTTGGAAGACCGAACAAGGGGACCAACTGGATGGCGTGTTGTCTGCTCAACCGCACCTGCCGAGGGACCAACACTGCGCAACTGCTTCGTCCTTGTTCCGGCCCCCACGGGCCCAACAGACATGATAGCGCCACCGAGTGAGGAGATCGACATGGTGCACTACGGCCAGCCATTTTTTCTCATGACAGTGCCGGAGTTATGTGATGATCCACTTTCGTTGGTGTCTGAGCACAAGGGACCTCACAGCGCATCAAAGGTAACAGGGAAATACCAGGATGTATTTTTATCTCCCGATGGTAACTGCGCAGAGGCTATGTGGGTAGTGGACTTTGCAAACCCAGATTACCGTGAGGATATGCGAGATAGACCAGTTAAGGCAGATGCTGTGATGATGATACGACACAATCACACAAATGTTCCCCTGGCAAGTACAAAAAATGTTTTCTACAATGATTTCGGTCCTGAATATGAGGTGTGCTGCCACAGATTTTCTCCCAACGTCACTAAACTACGTGGTGGTCAGTTACTGGATGAAAACTTTTGGACCTTTGTCCACAGTGAAGAGGGAGAGCATGAGGAACGAGAGAAGAATCATAGCGAGGCTACTGCAACGGCAGAAGCAGAAAAAAATGATTCCTAGAGAAATGGGATTAGGTTAAATAAAAAAAATGTACACATCCCATTTTTTGTTTTCTTATCCTTTTTACAATGTAATATGCAAAGTTTGACGGATCTGATGATGATGATACTGTTGAACGAAGAGTAAGATTTTCCTTCCTGTTTTTTTTTTTTTTTTTTTTTT